AAAGAAGACGGGTTTTGCTTCTGGCCTGATAAAAGAAAGAAATAAGAGTAGTCAGGACAGGTACAACTTGCCCTCTGATAGAAGCAAGAGACCAGACTTGTATAGTGGACAGGATTTGCTACTGTTCTGATAAAAGGCAGATACGACGGAGCAGGCGAGACAGCTACAGCTTCTGCGCTTAGAGGGGATTAGCATAACATCCCCTGTGATTCACAATAACTTCAGGAAGTCAGTATGTTCAATAACGAAACTATTAAAAGAACGTTCTCACATGGTCCGAGGCTGGCTACCTGGAGCCAGATTCACGAAGCATTTATGCAAGCACTTACGAACCTGTACATCTTTTCTCAATCTTTGGCGGCTTTGTTTACAATTATTGAACAGTTAATGAGCTCCGAAGCACCAGGAGGCTGTTTATAACAATAACAACAGTTGATTGGGAAACTTTCAGGCTTGTAAACTGTTTAATAAATGTAATCAAAGCCGTCAAAGATTGAGGAAAGATGTACACGTTCGTAAGTACTTGCGTAACTGCTTCGTGAATCTGGCCCCTGGTTTCCTTGTGATGGTTCCGAGGATTAACGTCCTCGCGGCCCGGTCTCTGATCAGGCCTTCTGGTTGGTGGTCTGGTCAACCAGGCTGTTGGACACAGTCCTCACCTGCTAGAGGAAAATAGTGAAGCTGTATACACAGTCTGACACATCCTCCCAAGTGTCAGACTGATTCAACTCTTCCATTCCTGCACACACTACTTGAACAGCTCTCACCAGAATTGCATAGGACCAGACCCACGAATCGAAACTAATCCCTGTGAAATATCCCCCACCAGTCCCAATCAATATCCCCCCCACCCGTCCCAATCAATATCCCCCCCCCCCCGTCCCAATCAATATCCCCCACCAGTCCCAATCAATATCCCCCACCCGTCCCAATCAATATCCCCCCCACCAGTCCCAATCAATATCCCCCCACCCGTCCCAATCAATATTCACCCCACCCGTCCCAATCAATATCCCCCCCACACCAGTCCCAATCAATCCCCCCCCACCCGTCCCAATCAATATCCCCCCACCAGTCCCAATCAATATCCCCCACACCAGTCCCAATCAATATCCCCCCCCACCAGTCCCAATCAATATCCCCCCCACCCGTCCCAATCAATATCCCCCCCCCCACCCGTCCCAATCAATATCCCCCCACCCCCCACCAGTCCCAATCAATATTCATTATCATAAAGCATGCACAATCGCTTCATATCTTTAGGGAAAACCTGGTAAAGAGGGACACGTAATAATCAGCTCTGGGAGTTGTGTGGGATTAATATCCTTTTTTCCCCTGCTTCTGACGCCTGCGATGCACGCATGGACGCATTCAATTACATATACTGCACATATATTTATATATATATATATATATTACATATACTGCAGATATATTTACGAGAGCAGGCATTTCATTTTCGTTACAGTGTCACTTCTAATATATCATATTATATGTACAGCATATACTGATTATATATATATATATATATATATATATATATATATATATATATATATATATTAATTATACAATTTTGTGTATATGAACATATGTATACATATATTTATATATGTCACTTCTTCCTGCTACCCCAGGAGAAGCACAGACTAGTCCCAGAACTACGAGGTATGA